ACAAAGAGAGGATTTAGAGTTTCTTTACCCTTAGAGGAATGCTTAACTAGTCTCCTCCTAGAATCCCTTGATCTCCTTCTTCTTCTTCTATGGTGTGCTAGTGGCTCAAGATTGGGAGAGTGGGAGAAAATATTTGAGAGGAAATGGAGAGTGTGTGGCTGGATTTTTGAGTGGGGAAAAAGCTAGGAGAAAAAAAATGAAGCTTATCCTATGTTGGTTCCTTTTATAGGCACTTGGAAATTATTTTTTTTAACACCAATTCCACTCCATCATTCAACCAAATTTTTGGTTCAAATCCCCCTTTCTTGGCCGGTTTTGGAAGGAGAAAAGAAGAAGCAACTTTGCCATTAATTCCCCTTCAACCACTAACATCACATCACCTTAACATAAAGTCCTCTAGCACACTCCACTAGCCAAATGTTTGGCTCTATTTTTTCATGCATGGCCGGCCAAGTGGAGGAAGAGAGAGAAAAAATCTCACCTACCCCATTGTACTCTTATCCACTTTCTTAAGTTTCCCTTTGAAACTGATAAAAATTATACTGACTATTAGAGAGTAACTTAGCTGACAGGAATTCGTTTCCATTTCTGACGGTTCCTTTTTCTACTGCTTATTTACAGTTAAATGTTAAATCCTTGACTGCTTTGGATATCACATTAAATTCTTATTCGCGTAATATCTTGAACTGTTTACAGTCTTGAAATTAATTCTAGACTGAATAAATTCTAAATTTAACTTTCCTGCGTTAATTTTCAGAAATGACGTTATTTCTGACGGTGTCAACTCCTGAGTTCACATTGTACCCTTCTACTATGAGTATTTATCTTCTGACTTTAATCTAGCTGTCTGGCAATTAAGGATTTTCTCTTCATTTAAAATGTCAGTGCGTTTTTTTATACGCTGCTAACATCATGCTGTGTTTGGAGATTCTTGAAATTAAGATTCTCAAACTATACTTGTACTGAAAATTATTCTGCCTTAAAGTACGGCAAGAATTTATCAGTCGAATTTACTTGATCGAACACATGAACTTAACATGAAATCTGCTACAGAATTTAGGAATACAGATATTAATTCCATAAATCCTTTAGTCACATAATATTTTCTAGGAAAATCCTTGGCTTAAATAAATAAATTATATTATTTAAGGTCTAGGATTTTCTCAGGCATTACACTTTTTTTGTGCCTTGTTCATATAGGAATTAGAAAGCTTAGCACAAATAGATCGAAAAACAAAAAAGGGGGCAAAATGAGTGAGCGGGTACCATGAGATTTGGGGGAAAAATTTTCATAAATGGAGAATAGACAGAGATAGAGAAATGCGAACCTCTTTTGGTAACCGAGCTTGGCGTAAGAAGAGCGCTTCAAGTGCCTTCGATCTTCCTTCCATGATCCAGTCTTCGCAAAATCAGGTATCGATCTTCCTTCCACAAATCTAAGAATGCACGGGGAAATCTAGGAATTTGGGGTGAAGAGAGGATCGAGTGAGGTTTTCTTCTTCCTTGGCCGGGTACATGCCTCTTCGACAGAATAGGGGAAGTGGGAATTTGGGGCTTTTTGATGTTCCTTTGTTCGTCTGTGTGACTTAGCAACACTAGCACAAATTAAACAGACCAAAAAAAAACATAACGTGGCGCATGAGCGGGAAACGTGCAATTTGGAGGAAAAAATTTTCACTTCTCGCCCAACTTCACTTCTAATGTTTTTGTTTACATATATTTAATTATATTAAAAAAAACCCGCTCAAATTTCATGATATTTTTAGAGATATATATAAATATATATATGATAACTATTTTAAAACACTATTACATATATGCAACATGACGTTTTTCCAGAAACGATATAATCAACAGTTATGAAAAGACTATTATGTTGTAGTGGGGGTTTGGGCTCGGAAAACTGGGGAGAGGCTGAGAGAGAGAGAGAGAGTGATCGGAAAAAATGGAGGAGGAGGCTCTGGTCACAGGTATATAGACAGAGTTTTTGCGACGACATTCAAAACTTGTTGTCGCAAATATAACTTCATTATAACCATTTACGACGACAATGTTGTCGCAAATATAACTTAATTATTTAATATTTATAATGAATGTTCTGGAATTATTATTTGCGATGACATTGTGCATTGTCGTCGCAATTAGTTTTTGGAAACCGTCCAATTTTCCCGCCGTTTATTTTCGCAAGGGAATACAAAATCAGCATTTGCGACGAACATAATAATATCGTCGCAAATAATTTTTGGGAACCGCCATATTGACCGCCTTTTACTCGGGGAACAATAATTAAATGAAGTATCATTTGCGATGACATGTATCGTCGCAAATAAATAATTATTTGCGACGGTATTTTCGTCGCAAATAATGTTATTTTGGTGGCAAACATTGGCGCCAGACAACATTTGCCGCCAACTACATATTTTTGACGACTGGTGAATTATTAGAGACGACAACATTCTCCTGTTAAACGAAAAGTAATTGCGACGTTATTTTGTCGCAAATATTTAATTATTTTCGACGAAAAATGTCGTCGCAAATAATTTCGTCGGAAATTGGGCAAATTGTAGTAGTGAAAGTTTGATCGTTCAAATTTTTTATTCCAACTTTATTGTGCAATCCTCAATATGCATATATAGAATCATGTGTTCTGTTTCCATCCCTAGTTTTCTTGAATTATTGAGTAGATCAACAGGTTAATAAATGCGTCTGTTCAAGATATCATGAATAAATCAAAACATATTGCGAAGGCCATATCCTTCTTTGGCTTGGCTTCTTTCTCGTACACTTCCTTCACTACATCTGTAAGGATCATTATTAGTGATTGTCATAAATATATAACAGAGAGCTTTTCATGACATTTGGATTAATTTTTATCTTTTTTTGCCTCCTTATTGATTTTGATCTGAATCATTACAAGGAAATTAATTTTCAAGCATATAAAATTGAAACTACTTTATACCACTCATTGTAACTTTCAGGACATCTTGTCTCGTGGGGGTGAGACGGCTTCTACCATTGACTGGGCAATGGCAGAAATTGTAAAGACTCCAAGAGTGATGAGAAAAGTACAGGATGAGGTGAGGGAAGTATTTGGAAGAAAAGGGTCCATTGAAGAGACGTGTATTAAGGAAATGAACTACTTAAGATCAGTTGTTAAGGAGACAATGAGATTGCATCCAGTTCTTCCCCTAATACTTCCGAGAGAAAGTAGCGAGAAGTGTGAGATTAATGGCTATGAGATACCTGCAAAAACTAGGACAATAGTTAATGCATGGGCAATTGGAAGAGATCCTAGATATTGGACTGAACCTGACTCCTTTATACCAGAAAGGTTCCTAGATAGCCAAAACTTTGAGTATATCCCATTTGGTGCTGGAAGGAGAATATGTCCAGGCATCTCATTTGCCGTGAGCAATGTTGAGCTTCAGCTTGCTTCGTTGTTATAACATTTTGACTGGAAACTCCCCAATGAAATGAAACATGAGGACCTCGACATGACGGAGTTGCAACGCGTGGTAGTGAGAAGAAAGGATAACTTGCTCTTTGATTCCCATTGCCTACATCAACCCTTCACCCGTTGCAAAGTCGCACTGAAAATGAAGTAATTTGTTTTAGTTTCTACAAGTAGTTTATCTTTATTGATTACATTATCCCATGTCTAGTATATGCATCTTTGTTTAAATTACCCCATGTTAATTTCATGATAAAATAAAGTTTTCGCACAAGTAGGCTGAGTTAAAAAGGGTTTATTTGCTTTGATTGTGGTTATTATTCTGCTGTTTATTTCAAAGATGGTATGATTATATTTTATACAATATTTTGGTGATCTTATACTCCAAGTTTCATTGCTTTTTGATCTCTTTCATGTTAAATAATCTTTAAACAGTTTTCTGCAGGCTCTTGTTGAGATAGTTTCTTCCAAATCTCTTGGTTTTCTTTCTTTCTTTGAACCATGAAATTAATCTTCTGATTGCGCACGGTATAGGATACTTTCTTATGACTTTCAAGTTTTGTTTTCCGTGGTAGATTGCTTTCTGTTTCGAACAATCGGTAAATAAATCAGTAAAAATTAAGAAATGGGCTTTGATAAAAATTGTCATGTACAGACGACAATAAGATCAAATGACATTTAGTTAAGAAAACGACAGTAAACTCACAGACAAACACAAACAATAGTAACGTTGAAAACGACAAATCTGCTAATTATAACGATATAAACTAGAAACGCCAACAATATAGAAGAGCATATTCTCCGATATACAAAAGTAATAGCAACCTCATAAAACGACATGAATCTGGAAATTAGATTCTCAATATTTAAAAAGTACTATATAAACATTAACTTAACATGTTAACTTAACTTAGCTAGAGAATCATCAATGGCTGCGGAATACCTATAAAGCTAGGATCATAGTTAATGCATGGGCAATTAGAAGAGATCCTAGATATTGGACTGAACTTTAGTGCTCTGTACCAGAAAGGTTCCTCGATAGCCTTATTGACTACAAGGGCCAAAATATGTCCAGGTGTAATATCCGGAAAAATTCAATAATTAATAAGTAGAATTAATTAAGGATTTTTCATAATTACGTCAATAGATTCATAAGAAAATATAAGTACATGGCTTATAATGTTAAGCTTTGATATTAGTTACGAGATATGGTTATGAGAGAGAGAAGAAAAAAATATAAAAAGAGTCAAGTTTTGACTATTGAGCCTAAAAATAGTTTTAAGACTTGCAATAGTCCAATTTAGTATACAATTAAGAATATAAAATAATATTGAATTATTCTTATATTAAGATTGGACTGTAAGTGAATAATAAAAGAGAACTTGTCAGAAAATTAAATTTTTTGTCGGTGAAATAAATAATCTCTAGTCAGAATAAATTATATATGTTTAGAGATAATTTTTAAGGATAACTTCTAAAGTTTCACTTTCTCTCTCTCTTCTCACGCGTTTGTTTCTCTCTTCTCTCGAACGTTCTCTCTCAAAAATGAAACCGTCCATGGCCAAAATCTCACCTGGAGATTCAGGCCTCCGTTTTTGACACAGCTGGTGTCAATGGAAAGCTTTCGATGAGCTGAGCATTTTGACAGGTCGCACGACCCCAAACTCTGCCGGAATAAGCTGTAATCGCCGGCCGAAGTTTCAAAAACAACCGAAACTTTCGATCGCGATACTTCCTTCGTCCAACCTCCGATTGAGGTGATTTCAGTCCCTATGGACTCAGTGCAACGTGACGAAGAAAACCCACCCATTTTCATAGCTCAATTATGGCCGGAGCACCGCCGTACGTGGTGGTCGGAATCACCGCGCCGCCACCGTCGTTTTTCTTCCTCCGGGACGCAGTGGGTGTCACGACCCCTACCATTTGATTAAGAGTTAATAGAGGAGTCGATCCCGACCAGATTCAGCCATCACCATCGCCATTTGGCCGGAAAACGAAGCTCACCGCCGCCGTCATGATGGTGTAGGTTGGTTCCGACGATCGGACCGTTAGATCGTCGTGAGTTTGTGTCAAAACACTCATAAGATCATGGGTAAGAAAACCCCTCAACTAATTTTAGGATTTCATGATCGGAAATTTGAGATTTGAGTCGCCGGATTTTAGCGACGTTGCCGGTCCCGATATGTACTGTTACAGGTTGAATGGTATGAAATTGACCACACCAATGGACTCAGAAGGGTCGATTTATGGGGGGTAGGACCCAAGTCCGCCGCGGAAAAATTCTCCGGGAGCATGCGCCGCCGTACACCGCTGCCATATTCCGGTGAGGTGTCGTTTCTCAGGCTATCGACTTCCGTTTGATGATCCGAGACCATATCCCAACTCGTTTCAACGTGCTGAACGCAATGGTGACCTCCGCTCGACCAAATTCAACTTTGATAGAACTGGTATGGTACCGATTGCACGCGGATCGAGGTGAATCGAACGGATTCATTAAAGTTCAAAATTGAATGTCTAACGCTTCAATGATGCTAGTGGATCATTCAAAGCGTTTATGATTTCTCTTGGAATGGATATCAAGGAGATACGCAGTGGAACACGACAAGCGGGTTTTACCGGAACTGCTTAGCTCAGAATTGAGGCAAGTACAGTATGATTAATGATAAGTAATTTAGAACATATGATGTTCATGGGATATGTTATTTATGAATTCACGAATTC